ACAGAGATACCTGAAGCAATAGACATTAAAGTCTGCAAAGTGCCTGAAGGACTGCTGTAGCTCCACAGAAACAAATCAGACATTTAAGACCCTGCCTACTGTCTTGTCAAGCTGCATACATTTATTTTGTGTGTAATAGAGAACTTTATTTCATAATCTGCTAAAGACTGAAAAACAGATTTTTGGCACAAGGGGATTTCCTGGTACAATTACACAAAATGTAATTAATGGGAGATTGTGAAGCATGGATTGGGCATCTAAGAGTCAAGCTCCCCTCCGATATCACAGGCATGCTTTTGGCAAAACCTTGAGAGGTTGTTGGAGGCGGGGAAAGAAGAGTCACCACAGACACAGCGTATCAGCTATCGCAATGTCCAGTATAACGACAACTCAGCTGTTGATAAACAGAGAAACAGTGATGGGCTACAAACCCACAAATCCTGATCTCTAGTTGCCTCCACTGAAAAATGGTCCACCGATGGAAATTAGGTTTTTGTCCATTTTTACAGCACAAACCAAAGCAAAATCCAGAGACAGTACAACATGCAGCATGCTGCACAAGATAGCTTTCAGCAACCGTCCTCGCCACGTCACAATATAAAAACACACTAATTTTGTAGTCACTAGAGGGAGCCATCTGGCATTTTACTTGTGCTGCTCCTCAAGTGTTTGAAACTCAGATTTAGTGGCTCTGCTAAAGGGAAAGACTCTGTCAGATCTAAACATACTAATCAGTAAGCATTGCAAAGAAGAGTTTGGTTACCTACTTATCTCTCTGGGCCAAGCTTAGAGTAAATTCTATAGGTAGGTGAAAGACTTTTGTGACCTATTTTTCTCTCAAATTCTGTTTTCTAGCATTGATCATGACTGGTTACGTCTAATATGGGACACTATACTGGGCCCTTCAGAAGCCTGAAGCACACAGTCTGATCTTTGTGTGTACGTATCCCTTACAGGCTGTACAAGGCTCTGGAACAGACAAGATCACAACTGATTTGCTTAACCTAAAATTTTATGGCGTCTCCTTGTGCAGAGCTGATGGCTATGTCCGGAGACTGAAGAAAGAAGTAAGGTCACTTGTTTTCCACAGTTCAATCAGTTTAAGGTCTGAAAATGAGCCTCGAAGGAGCTTTATGCTACAGGTCTTTTACCTCAGCATACAAATCATAAACTAATTCTTAAAAATTTAAGAGACGACCCCCAAAAAGAAATTGTCCCTTTCCTTTACTATGGCTTCTCACCCAGTCTGGATAGAGCACAGGTTTTCGACAAAGCACAAAGGCCTGTTTTCAGTTTGCACCATTACTGGAACCTTGGGATACAAATGCAGCCAACCTTGAATAACCTTGCTCTGTCTACATGGGACAGAAAGAGATGAAGCAGTAATGGCAGTAACACCTGCCAGTCACAAGCTGGGACGCAGCACTGGTCTTAGACAGACAAGGGCAGGGAGGCCTCCTCCCTGAAGCCACGAGAAACACGTACACTAACCAGTTTACCCAAAAGGGAGAGCAGAGGAGTTGTGTGCGTTGCTACAGAGCGGCTCTAAGTATATCCAATCCCTTGTACAAAAGCTTATTTAAATAGAACAGGCAGGAGACATATGAAAGCAGGCAATTAATAAATGGGACCGTACCTCCCAAACACGACAGACGTTTTGAAGCCCAGGATGCTTCTTTTTGCAGTCTTCACCAAATTTTTGGTACTTCACCTGTAGTCATATCAGGCCCTACACTTACCTGAAAGTACCAAATATACTCAGCTAGGAGCAGAAACCCCAGAGACTGCAACGAAAGATGCCCACTCTAATTCTTCTTTGTTTGTATGCTGCCGCGTCAGGTACAATTTGTACCTTAGAAACTCAAATGGACAGCAGTTTATTAGCTGTACAGTCCCTGCGGACTGCTTTCTTTTTACTAGTATTGCCTTTGACTGTATAGATTAAAGCCTTTGTGCAAACCACATCGATTTTAGTAGAGTTCTTCATCGATTTTTACGTTCACAAGAAGCCCAATCTGACAAGATATGGAAGACAAGGTGCTGGATATTAGCTTAAACAGTTTAACCATTTTGTCTTTCAGAATTGTCCGTGTAGAAAGAACCCTTACATTAACACCAGCAGTGGTTGCACTGGCACCAATTCAAGCAGGAACGTTGCTGCTGCACAGGGTAGTAAGTAACCTGGCTAATAGAAAGACCACCTTGAAACCAGCCTGCAGGGGTATATTGGTAACAGGGATTATTTTGTCAGTCATTGAAAATGAAGGCCTTTAATGCTCCAATTTATGCTCTACTGATCACACTGTAATACAATGACTCATATGCTGTGAACACAAAACTTACTTGCAGCTCTTGGTGCCAAAGAGAGGCATGTAAATCAACCCACCATGAGCCTGCACAAGAGTCTGAGGGAGAAACTGAAGCTCTCGCTGCCTTAATTTGTAACAGCCTCCCTTCCATCAAGGCATATCCAAGCTTCCACTCATATTCTTAGCGGCTGTATTTCTTTATGGAAACAATTCCATGAAAGTACATAATTAACAGTGAACAAGTATTTAGAAAAGCTAACATAGACCTTAAACTTCCATGAAAGTGTATATAATCATAAAGAACTGGCACGTCAAAAAAATCACAGGAGAACCTACGGTCCCAAGAGAACCTAATCACAACGAACTGGCACGTACGCAAGCCAAAAAAGCCTCACAGTGAAGTTTTAAAGACTTAATTCAGTTACTTGTGTTAAGCACCAGCTTCAGCAGAGCCATGTCCGACTTCAATTAGGGAAGGCAAATATCAAACCATGCTCAAGCAATTTCCTCTATGTGCGCTCTTGAGATACTACGACTTCTCATGATATATGCTTTTAAGTCCCATTTTGATTGAAATCTCTCTCAAAATAGAAAAAACTCACTTTAAACCAAAAACTTTCCATACACATTGCACACATGCAGCGAACGACAGTGATGTGTGTGGCCGGTTTCGAGGGAAATACTTACTATCGCCTCCATTTCATCTGAGAATAACTGTCTTGCAGCACTTACAATAAAAAATAATTTTAAATCTCATTTCTATAAGGAAGCGCACCTTGAAAACTACTTGTTACACACACACTTTGATTTCCACTTCGAGATCAGTAAATACTTGAATTTCTGTAATCCAGAAAGTACCACAATGAAAAGCATTAACCAAACATCCTTCAGCATCCAGCTAAGAACTGAACAAGACTGAAAATCCAGTCAAAGGGAAGGAATATTCACTCTCTCCATCTTAAAAGACACTAGAATAAAGGATGTGGACCACAGTCTAAATACAACTGCTTTCTCTCACTGATTCAGTTAAAAAAAAAAAAAAAACCAACCCATTTTAAAGTTGTAGCTTTATTTGAAAGTGATTTAAGAGTTATGGTAACACAAATTTTTATACAAAACTGATACAACGAAAAACAAACTTCAGAGGTTTCCTAGAGCAGATTACAGGCTGTAAACTCATAATCAAATATACTATATAGAAAAAGGTAACTTTGTTCAAAGTCCTGTCTGCAGACCAGCACCAAGTGATCCTGAAAATTTAGTTTTACTCTATGTGCAAAAAAACCCCCAAAGCCCACCCAAAACCTCGTTTCCTAAGTAAGCGAAGTTCCATTGCAGTTGTCCTACCTCACTGTATTTCCAATTTACAGCAACAGCTGTGACAAACTGTACACAAGAAACACATCAAGATTTCCAGCAGTATCTTCAGTGAGTAAAGATCAACTTTAACATACCTGATATTTTAAAGGTTTTTTAAGGAGTCGTGGACAACAAGGTACTTAAACAAAACTTTACAAACTGCCATTTCCAAAGAACTCAGAAGTCTATTAAAAAAAACCACCAACAACACCAAAGCCCTGTAATAACTCCTTTTAAACTATTTCATTTCAGCATGTCAGTTGGGGGGGGCGGAGTTCATAGAGTCTTGCAATTCTTTTACCATTCTTACCACATGGTCAGTAGAAAGTAAGGCTCCTCCCAAAACTAATCTTCTTTTATTTTTGTCTGAGATCAGTTTTCTCAAATAGAAAAATGTATTTTGAGAACAATTTCTCTATATACACACAGGTCTTCAAACATCCCATTTTGGGGGGCAAGCGTACAACTTGGCCTCACACCACCCTTCTAGGCATGGGAAAGATACTGTTCCTGAAATATTATGGCTGTAGAGAGCTACCAGACAGGAGCAAAATACTACTCCAACTGTGAAAATAACTGCTGCTGTAATTCCTACACTTGATGTTCTCCGTATCGCACAAAGCAAAATGGTTGTGAATCATGCAATGTCACGCAATCGTATTACACTTTGTAGAGAACTGCAAGGGTCTGTTTTCTGCTCTCTGCCAGGCTTGCTTCTCACTTCACAATTCCTGGGCTCATCAATCTCACTTGTTTTATTGTGGCTGTTCACCTATGCGTGCCAGGAACAGCATCAGTGCAAAAGGACGTTAATCCAGTAACTCCAGAAAATCTGCAACTTTAAGTCTTCCCTAAAATTGGAAAATGTCTCTAGAAATTCCACTTCTTTTTTTCAGGCTCTCTGCCTTTTTCTTTTATCTCTGAAGCACACACCAACCCTCCTCTATCGCCGCTCTCCACCTTGAGATACCACTGTAAACAAATCCCAGTGATAGAATAATCAAGTTTTTGCCAGTGAAAAAAAGCACCATACCATTAAACTTTTGTTCCTTTTAATAGAGTTACAGCAGCATGTAGAGACCAAAGCCTCACGCATGCTGCTGCTTCAAACCTTGCTCCCAGGTCCGCTGCATTAATGTACTCTCCAATGCCTTGGATCTTGGTATTAAAACCAAAGAGATATTGAACATCCTATGTGATCACAGGAACACGGAGAGTAGTTTCTGTGAATTTCTAGCTATATAAATTTGTGTGCAACAGACCTACTTTGTGCCTCCTGATAGTTACAGTGCAGATTTACTTCTCCTGCAAGGCTGATGAGTCATTCACTGTTCACTGGCATTGCACGGATTTGCCATAGCCCCCTCTTCCAGCATCATAGTCTTGCCGATATTCATCTCGGACCTTATGAAGGAGGAAAAAAGGGAACTCCAGTAAAGCCAACTTCTCAAAAACTATTACACCATTAGAATACAGTCAAACTGAGTTCACAAGTTGTAAGTGGCCACAAGGAGCTGACTGACAAAACAGAAGACAAAGTGCATCATGCAGGAGCCCAGAATACAGCATAAATTAACTTCCTTTTTAACAGTGTCCAGGGGGGCTCTTTAATCAAGACAGCCAAAGCAAAGATGGCTACCCTCATGCTTCAGCGTCTGCTACCTGCTCAACTTTAGGTAAGCTAACTGCTGTCCTTTGTGCTCTTAAGAGCCTTACATTTTCTGGGCTTATTTATAAGCACCATCTCCCTAAGTAGCCAAGAAGTTTCTGAAAGTACTTTCAGTGCAATATATGAAAAAGTTATTTATTCTTAATGAATAACATCACCTTTGACAAGACGTCTTACGGACTAACATATAGCACTATCTTAAACAACAATCTATAAGCTGCTATTTCTGAAGTTGTTCTGAGTGTGTTCATTTAAAGAGCAATAATTTGGTAAAGTCACCAGTCACTTAAAAACTAGACTGTACAACAACCTACCTGAACCCCTGATCTTCCACAACCATACTGTCTACCCTCCTTAACTCCTGTATCCCAGTCTGTCCTTATGATTCTATCATCAAGTCTGGTTCCACTGATGTATCACATTGCATTTTCAGCATCTCCTCTTGCATAATGCCTTAGGAATAGGTTAATGAAAAAACCTAGGCTTCTATTTTCAGTATGTGGAAAGTGCAACACCAAATGGGCTACAAACCCAAGTATTTGCTTGAATCAGGTTCCTGCCTGGTTACTTCTAAAAGCAACCACTTATATGGCGCTATGTGGGCTGAGAAAACTGCTAGCGAAATAGTGTGCAGAACTCAAGCACGTTAATGCTCACCCTTAAAAGCACAAAGCTCTATCGCTGAAGAAAGAATGGGAAGCCCCATGCATGCTGCAAACTTTCACCATTTTGGTGAGTTCGCTGCAACCAGTAACAGAATGATCTTCAGAGACCTGCACATAATGAAGTCAACATATGATAGGAACGGAAAACACCAACAGAAACTCTACATGTACGCTTGTATGAAAAGAAACCCCTCAGCGTGCGCACTGAGAATACGCTTTCACTGCAGAAGCCAACAAAAAGTATCTGGCTTAAAGTATCAGAGCAAAAGCAACCTAACAGCCCCCACTCGACGCCCAGTGCACGTCTGTCCTCTCCCGCCCCGCACTCCCCCAGACACTGCAGCAACCCAATAACCTTGTCCCCGGACAACCTCCCCGCGACCCGGAGCCT